ATTAGATTTTATTTTCTCGCAGACCTTGGTCTCAAATTGTTCTTTGTTTTGTTTCCTTCTCTAGTTTGATGTTTTTGTAGTCTACAAATGTTCTTCCATCGTAATGAAATCGTCTTTACTTAATTTAAGACCTATTCAAACTAAAATGAAGACATTTACCACACTATTTGAGAAATGAAAGCCTATTTATGGCCTTAAAATTATGAAAAGTTAATTTAAGACATAAGGACAGACGGGAACCCTGCAATTGACGTAAATCCGTCATAGACTCGCTGCAATTAACGGAAATCCGTCGTAGCGACGGAGAACTTTAATCCCTGGTAACACTGATATTAGACTGACTTCACGTGGATTTAGACAAGTTACCTTTACATTTGCAAATTGCAACAAAACAGTGAAACAACAGAGAGAAGTTACGTTACCTGCCAGGGCGGGATGACGAGCTCCACACACAGGAAATATAGCCAACTGAAAAAGTGCGCCAAGTGTCGTCTGAAAAGATGCTCTTCCAGCGATAACCCCAAATATTCCTCTTTTTGGAACCTTAAAATTAAATACAATGTACGTATTTAAGCAATTTCATAAAAACATAACGTTACTGAGGATATAACGTTATGATATCAACACGCAAAGAACGTAGCTAACTTAGAAACCATGATAGCGAAAATTCAAACCCACATCTTTCAAAACGAAAGTTTGACTTCGATATATAAGAATTCTTCCAAAATGTATAATGCTGTGTTCATATTATAGCGCAACAAAATCACACTAACGTTACTACATTAATATATTATAACGTTATAAGTTATCCTTGCCAACAGAAGACAACTTTGTGTTGCTGATTAACGTTAGTCTCTTTTTCTGTAATAACTCGTTTTAAATTGTAATATACCACTAACGTTACATGCGTTCTTCTTACTAGCCCAGTGATGACAAAAGTAGTTTTCTTACCTCAAACAGTTAAATTTGCAAGATGAGCAAGACGAACATCCACTGTCGAACATCCACTGTCTTGAAATGTCTTCCTGAGGCAGATGGTCAGTTAGCCAGCTGAATTTAAAAAAGGCACAATTTGACAGGAAGTGCTATTCAATTTAAATTTGCCTGATTACATTAATTTGAATTTACTCAATATTCTCTCCATTTGGGATTAAATAAATAAAATGCTTAAATTTTATTTAACTAGAATGTGTGGATTTTATTCTAAACATTTTTATTTGAAATTTAATTAAATATTTGCCTCAAAATCAAAAACACAATTATATTGAATAAATTTTAACCATAAACATTAATTGAAATCTACATGACCACAGAATCATTTCTTACAGTGCACAACACGCACAACCTTGAGGCGGATGGGCTACAACAGCAGAAGACTCCACCGGGTACCACTCATCTCCACTACAAATAGGAAAAAGAGGCTACAATTTGCAAGAGCTCACCAAAATTGAACAGTTGAAGACTGGAAAAATGTTGCCTGGTCTGATGAGTCTCGATTTCTGTTGAGACATTCAGATGATAGAGTCAGAATTTGGCGTAAACAGAATGAGAACATGGAACCATCATGCCTTGTTACCACTGTGCAGGCTGGTGGTGGTGGTGTAATGGTGTGGGGGATGTTTTCTTGGCACACTTTAGGCCTCTTAGTGCCAATTGGGCATCGTTTAAATGCCACGGCCTACCTGAGCATTGTTTCTGACCATGTCCATCCCTTTATGGCCACCATGTACCCATCCTCTGATGGCTACTTCCACCATGTCACAAAGCTCTAATCATTTCAAATTGGTTTCTTGAACATGACAATGAGTTCACTGTACTAAAATGGCCTCCACAGTCACCAGATCTCAACCCAATAGAGCATCTTTGGGATGTGGTGGAACGGGAGATTCGCATCATGGATGTGCAGCCGACAAATCTGCGGCAACTGTGTGATGCCATCATGTCAATATGGACCAAACTCCCTGAGGAAGGCTTCCAGCACCTTGTTGAATCTATGCCACGAAGAATTGAGGCAGTTCTGAAGGCAAAAGGGGGTCCAACCCGTTACTAGCATGGGGTACCTAATAAAGTGGCCGGTGAGTGTATATATATTTATGTTGTTATACACACACACACACACACACAGTACAGACAGTGATGACGAGGATCATGTGACTGAACGTGTGTTAAAGTTCAGATTCGCATCATCAGATAACGGCAGAAATGTGTGTTTAGCTGCTTCTCTTCACTTCTCCTCTGATAAACCATTTGACAGATAATATCTTATCCAGTCGTGTTACCTCTTGAAATGCCTTTAAATGGCAAATTTGACCAGTAAACGTAGTTTTACACTTGCCAAAAAGTGATTTAAAGCCTCCACTTGTTGAGTGAACTGTTATTTCTGCCTAAATATTAGCCTACTTGATTTTATTCATGAGGGTTATATATATATTTTTTTTTATTACTTTCATTTTTATTGAAGTTTTCTGACAACAACAACAACAACAACAACAAAAAAGGACAAGAAAAAAGAGAAACATACATTAAACAAAATCAAAGGAGGCCAAGGAGGAGTTACCTAGTACAATTGAAACAAAAATAAGTCTAGTTGTAAACATCGGAATCACTGATCAATAAACCTTATATTTACAATACTTCTACCATCTTTTACACAAGTTTACCAGAAGCCCAATCCGTAGAATCTCACAAAGTTAACACCCAGTATACAGTATTGTATTGGGCAGAAAAGTTATGCAGTTTCCAGGGTCAGAAAATGGGTCCATTTTCTCCATTTTTCTTTAAATGATGATTCTCTTAACCTTATAGTGTAGGTTAATTTTTCCATTATAAAAATGCTTTGAATTAAACTTGTCCATTGCTGTAGATCTGGGATGTTCGATTTGAGCCAAAGTCTAGTGATAGCCTTTCGGGCCGCGGATAATAAAATTTTGGATAAATACAGGTCCTCCTTCCGCACACTTTCTTTGATGTTTCCGAGAAACATAACTTTACATTCCTTTGGGATATTGTACCCCAGCACCTTCTGTAAAGTATTGTTAACGATAGTCCAAAATTGTTGAATTTTCGGACATGTCCAGAAGATATGAGCGTGCTTTGCGTCTGTACTACCACAGTCCCTCCAACAGTCTTGAGGTATCCCAAGTTGTTTGCCCTTCAGATAAGGAGTGATAAAAACTTCATAAAACACTTCCAATTAAATTCTCTCCACTGTTGGGAATTGGTGGAGGTCTGGAGTAGACAACATGTTTGATACCATTCCTCCTCCGTGAGGACAACCTTCAGTTCACATTCCCATTTTGCTTTTACATAGAATGTAGTGTTTTTCAAGTTCTCCATCAGACTCTGGTATAGTTTAGACACAATCTTCTTAGTCTTTTGTTGATAAGCACCACACATTATTTCAATAAGAGGGTTTACCATGTCAGAAGAAAACCCCTTAATTTCTTTGCGGTAGTAATCTCTCAGCTGTAAGTATCTGAATAGATCCTGGTTATTTAGATCAAAACTATCCTTTAGCTCCTGAAAACTCTTCATCTTGTTGTTTTTGATAGCTATGCAGAAAGCTGTCAGGCCCTTACTCATCCAATCTTTAAAAGTACTGTCATAACTAGGTGGCTTAAATCTGTTATCCAGTGCGATCCATCTTAGTATTTCTTGATCATTTTCATGAGGGTTATATTTGACAGCTCATTCAGTAATTTTTACCCGTTGAAAAGGGCCAATTACACTTTTTGGCAGTAACTACTGTCTAATTTCCCATTTTAATACATATCAACAGGTAAAATGGCTGGATCTGTCAAATATAATAACCATAAATAAAATGCCTTTATTTACTACGGACAGAATGTCATGACTCATGTCTATTTCCCTAATCCAAAGTAAACTGCATTGCATCTGAAAGGCAACGCTGAACTCAGCGCCGCGCATTCCACGTCCTGTGTGAAAGTATGTAGCAGTTAGAGGGTGCATAAAGTGTTGTAAATGCCTTGTATACACGTACAGATCATTTGTAACAGGTAAGTAACAGTTTTCAACACGATGTGTAAACGCATGAATAAATAATTTACAACACTTTCTGCATTCCCCAATCTAAAGTGTAAACTTTACATCACTTGTAAATGTTACAAATCATTCGTAGATAACATTCATAGCTCGTATGCCTTATTGATTCTTGAAGTGGTCATCTACAAATGATGTGTAAAACATTTACAAGTGATGAATAGTTCACACTTTAGATTAGGGGATGCAGAAAGTGTTGTAAATTATTTATGCATTTAGCCATTTACACATCATCTATAACATACAAAAAATGTAACATCATATATTAAACATTTATGAAACGCAAAGTCATGTTTTGTAAAGGATTAGTTAATCAATTGTAAATGACTTAAAACTGAATCTACAAAACATTCATACAATAATTAACATATCACTTATTAATCATTTATGAAAAAAGTCATGTTTCGTAAATGATTAGTTCATCAATAACAAACCACTTACAAATGACTTACAACTGAACGTTATTATAAAATCCAATTGAGGACATAAAACGTCCAAAAAGTCTATGGTATAGGATCCAGTCTAAAAAAAAGGCTACACTGGCATATTGGTAAGATGGTTGCTGTGATTTTTAAGGCTGCCCTAACATTTACAAACTTGACTTTCAACATATTTAATATTACTTTGAATTATATACTTACTGAAAAGCAAGGTCTTTGTTGTCATCCTATTGAAGGACTTTTTGTTATTAGCCCCCTTCCAGTTAATTTGATGAGACACCTCATCTTTGAAGATCCTGCCCAGGATGTTCCAGGTCACCCTCTTCACATCCTGGCCTCCAATGGCTCGGCACGACCCGTTTAAAGCCCTGGCCCGACAGTGAAAACGCGGCTAATGTCAAACCAGTGAGATTGTCGCTCACAGACAGAATCTTACCACTGCTTCAATAGAATATTTGCAATAATCATGGACAATCAAGAAACCTAATGGCACCATTCATATTAAATAAGAAAACTCACCACTCTCTGTCGAGCTGGGCCATTTGATGGTTCTTTTAAAAAGATTTCAAATGCCTCCACTGCCCCCAATTGTTCCAGGGGAAACTGGATATTTTCAGGCATCTCGACATCTGGCCCCGGGGTGCTGTTCAGCCTGCTGGTGAGGTAGTTCACCTTTGCCACAAGCTGGTCCTGTTGTTGTTTGATTGTTTCCAGCAGGCTAAGGATGTGGACCTCAGCTGCTGTTGACAAACATGAAATGTAGCTAAAATGTAGTGTATTAAAATATATCATGTTTCAGTGTTTATCCTCATTACTCATAATACTGACATTAGTTAATTACAAAAGTTATTGTCAAAGTTTGAAGAAAATATGTGATGGCTGTGGGAGTTTTTTTTCCAAAATCTTTGGCACAGAATGACCGTCTAGTATTTGTCAGTTATTGCTCACCAGAACAGGGAATGGTATCAGCCATTCTTCCCCCTCGCCATGTTGGTCTATATGTCCGGCTTGGACAGGCTTCCTCTGTTGGCCGCATGTTGAGGGTTGGTGCGGGGGGTGGAGGGACTGCCGTTCCTGATCCATAGTGAGGTGAGCGGTGTGTGAGAGGGGGACATTTTTTATTAAATGTTACTAATCTGTTAACCATGACTGATAATACACATGGGGCCTTTCTATTCACTAATATTTCAGAAATCAGTCCCTACCTTGAGTAACTCTGCGAATGTTAAATGCGGGTGCAAGGAGTTGAGGTGGTAAAGGGTTTTGCTGTCCTGCCCCATAGTCAGGTGCTAAGGGAGAGAAATTGGTATTAAATGGTTGTGATCTGTTAACCATGGCTGCAAGCTACAGGGCCAAACAATGGCAAACAAAAAATCTCTGGTCATGCTGAACATGAATTTATGTTTCAACATTTTGGTATTCTACCTATTTCAACCCCATGAATGGATTGACATTGAAAATCTGAGATGGTAATGCAGATTTAATCTATTAATTTGGGGCCACTGTATTCAATATTATTTCGGAGAACAGTGATTACCTAGACAGTTTTCTCCAGGTTGAGTATTTACTCTGCTGCCTGGCACTCGGCGAGATGGTGGAGCTGAAGGAATACAAGGAGAGGGGAATCTTTAGCACTAAGAATGTTAACCATATCTCTAATATTAATAGTATATGTTATGTTATTTCGATGTTAAGAGATTATTCCTTACTCTGCCAGTGCAATTGGCTTGAGGCTTCAGCTGATACACCAGGCATCCTCAGAGATGCAAAGTCACCATTTTCGTCCTCACTCTCATCAGAGTCCCCAAAACGGTGGCTGTTAAAAAAAATTGCCAAATATACATAGTACAGGCATCTCTGGTCTATTTTTTAATGCTACGGGAAAGAACCTTCCTATTACTGTAGAAACAAAACAAAAACAAAACAGAACAGAACACACTTACACTGGCTTCCTGAATCTTTTTTCCGGCAGCTCACCCTCCTGCTCTGCGTCAGACTGTAGCTCAGAGGTGTTGCAGCCGGTCTGATACTGATTCATTAGCCTAATCGCGTCTTTGTAGTTGTCTAAAATTGAATATGTTAAAATGAACATGAGTTTTAAATTAGCTGTTGAGCTGCACAGAGTATTATTATTATTATTATTGATCATCTTTATTTAACCAGGTTGGTCTAATTTGTGCCAGTAGCCATATCACCCTGTAGCCCAAGACTGGTTGCCCACTGAAGCTAAGCAGGGCTGAGGCTGTTTAGTACCTGGATGTGAGACCTTCTGAGAAAACCAGGTTGCTGCTGGAAGAGGTGTTAGTGAGGCCAGCAGGGGGCGCTCACCCTGTGGTCTGTGTGGGTCCTAACGCCCCAGTATAGTGACGGGGACACTACACTGTCAAAGAGCACTGTCCTTCGGATGAGACGTTAAACCGAGGTCCTGACTCTCTGTGGTCACAAAAAATCCCAGGATGTCTTTCGAAAGAGTAGGGGTGTTACCCCGGCATCCTGGCCAAATTTGCCCGAGTGGCCTCTGTCCATCATGGCCTCCTAATCATCCCCATATATATTAATTGGCTTCATCACTGTCTCCTCTCCACCAGTAAGCTGGTGTCTTGTGAGCGTTCTGGCGCAATATGGCTGCCGTCGCATCATCCAGGTGGAGCTGCACATTGGTGGTGGTTGAGGAGATTCCCCCTTCTATGTAAAGCACTTTGAGTGCCGAGAAAAGTGCTATATAAATGTAATAAATTATTATTATTATTATTGAGAACACAAAATACAAGAGAGACCTGGCCAAGAATAGCATCAGTAGATATAAATTGAATATTTTAAACAATGCAAGGCAAAGACAATTTCATGTGGATTTTCAGAACATAGAAATAATATGTTATTTCAAGTAGAAGGAGAAGCAACCATGAAATTATTTTTAAACAAGAATTTTATGATTTGGCATACCACAAGTTCTGACAACCTTCACATCGTATCTTGGCCAGTTTGGCTCATGCTTCTCCCCGTTAGCAGCTGCCCTTTTCACACGTTCAGTGCTCTTAAAACTGGGCCAGTACACCATCCTGTCATCATACCAGTCAAATGGCACAACAGCAATGTCCTTGCTCTCCTGGAACTCAATTAGATGAAAAGGCATCCTTAATGTAGAAAGGGGTATTTATTATTCATCAAAAAAGGAATAACATGGACTAAAGCATGTACAAGTGTACAGTGTGTACAAATAAGCAAGTAAGATGGGCTGAAATTTAACTTGAATGGTGCCCCAAGGTGGGAAGAAATATCAGGAAGGAAAATGTACAGGTCATAATAGTTAGGTAGAACTTTAGCACAACTGTAAAGTAGGGTACTATTGCAATTTTTTGGCAGAATATGTTGGGGTGTTGTTTCATAATCTTAAAAAAATCATTGCATATTAATGCTAATAACTTAGCATTAATGTGTGGACTATGTACAGTCCATGGTATTGAGAAAGGTGGGACATGTTTTAAATTGCATGTTAAATTCAGCATAAAATATAATTTCTGGCATTTTGGCATTTTGTTTTGAGGGACAATATGTCATGTCAAATTTTGAAAATGCGAAATTATGGGTGTAGTGTATGGGAAAATACCAACTTGTGAAATACTTACAGCGAATTTTCATCCAGAGTAATGGAAGTCATAGTCAGAACAGAAGTCAGTAGTCAACTATATTATTAGAGTTTTTAACTTGAACTGGTTGTTTAAACTGATTGATCGATTGATTGATTGATTGATTGATTGATTGATTGATTGAACTGATTTGTGTTTTTTTTGTGTGTTTTTTTGTGGAGGAGGGGTATGGTCACGAAACCATCCCTGTATGGCAAGGCTACACATTTCTGTCGCACCGTTGACACCTCAACCGACTTCAGCTCGTCAGATGCATTATTTACAACAAATATGTTCATTCTGTCGGAGTTGAAGGGGTATGTATAGAATGGAGACTGCCGGGAAAATTTGGTGTAAATAGCGTACACACCATTATCATTTTGGATAATGTTTTTTATAAGGCAGACTTTTTCCCCCACCAGAAACATGTTGTCCCCTGTTGTTAACTTGATGGTCCACCTTTCACCTCGCATTTCCCCATATTGTGCATTAACTCCCATGCCAACAACAATTGGGCCCACAAAATGCTCCCTTTTCAGTGTAATGTCTGATTCAGCAGCATCCAATTTGGTTGCTGTAACCTCTGAAAGACGCCGAATGAGTTGAGCTAAAGGGAACTCAGATTTTCTAATGAGTTTTTTTATTTTCCCGAGGTGGTTCTCATATGGGAATGCTGAAAAAGAGTCCAGACAGCCATGCCTCTTCACCTCGTCTGCCAGATGGACCAGACAGTGGACATAGTACACAATCTGGTCTGTCCCATACAGCTCACCAAAATGGTTTACAAAAGATTTTAGCATTTGTCCAGCATAGTCAGCAAGGTTGAGATGTTCAGGGCTTACCAAAATGGATATAGCAGTTGACAGAAGCATGATATTGTAGTACATGTTCCGGTCCAGGAATCCCGCCAGCACCATAGGGCCAGTGTACAGTAAGAACTGTCGGAATTCAGTCGCCTTCCAACGGGCCAACTCCCTAAGCGTCCGTGGTCTCCTGGCAAACTCAATTGGCACGTAGGGCCTCATTGACTGGAGTTTGCCTGACATCCTGTCTACTATTAATGCCGGGAGTCTTACTGTTAACGGACCCCGGAGCCAGGTCTGGAGCAGTTTCCTCACGATGCCCAAACACACTAGATGCATATAATCCAAGGGAAACTGCGTTACCATGCCAACGTTCACGTTTTTAAAAGGATGTGGCCCCTCGTGGTGGTGTAGTTCATCAACCATCAGGTTGAATGAGATGTCAGTTCTCTAGGGGTGCTCTGATTCAGGGAACGTCATACGCCGGTTCTGGTATTGCCCTGGGTGTAGGCACTTATCACACCTATGGTAAGCATTATGGGCCTTTGTTTTTTTTTCACAAAGGCCCGTGCAGGGGCATCACAGATTACTGTGTGAAGCCTAATTTTAAGGTTCTTATCTCCAAAGCAAAACCCAGCCTCTAGCTTCTGTAGTTCATTGACAAAATCAGATAGGAACTCTGTGGCCGAACTAGGTTTTTTTGGTTCACAGTAGGCCCCAATGATAACAGGTTCCTTCATGGGGATGGTAACCAGTAAGCCAAGGATGGGCCACAGCTGTACAGTGGAACTTTTAAATAAAGGTAGACCATCTATATTAATCTGCAGCCCCAATGTCATGCCCTCTGCCAGTGTTTTTGCATATTTTCTTATAGTGGCCTTCAAGGAGGAAAGGATGCCAAAGTGATGGTAGTTCCCCCCAGCCTTCTCCTGAATAGCATACTGCGTTTTTGTCTTGAGAAGGGTCCTACCATCCTTTGGCAGATTGGGATGGGTTATATGGAGTATACTCAACAGTGCAGTCAGGGTAACGAGGGAAATGCCAAAACTCACTGCCCAGTTGGCAATGTTATCGGAAAGTGATGTTAATGAGACCAGTCAAATGAAGAGAACTGGCATGATTCAAATTTATATTACATAAAAAGTGGCTTACACCCGTTACATTTTATTTATAGAACTGATAGACCATTGTGTCATATTTTTTAGTTAAAGAGGTCAGCACAAAAGTAAACAATAAAGCATTTCCTATTCTAATTAAGAGGGCCATAGTATTCATGTGACGTGACAAATGATTAAGAGGTTAGTGATGTGTGAATATTAGCCATAGAGAATATCAGCCATATTTGTAATAATTCATCATACAGCTGGAAAAACAACCCAGCCAGAAGTCAGTAAGAGGGATGTTTTATAAAATTTGTTATGTCCCCTTGAAAATGAAAAGGTGTCATAAATGCGACATATAAAACTCATATGAGTTGTGGAAAAAATGCTGTTCTGTGTTCATCATATAGAGTTTGGCTTTGAATCCTGCACTGATCGTCACGTTTCCACTGTCGGTAACTGAATAATAAAGACAATATTACTATATAAGCATTTATACAATTCACTTAATTTAAATGAATCAGATCAGTCAGAAATATAACTTCTCAACCAGAATGAACATTCCTGGAGTTCATTTCATTGGTATAGACACACACACACACACACATACACCATGTATAACAAACAAGCCCTGCGATCACAATATTAAAAGAACAAGAATTCTTCCCTTTTCAAGATTGAATTTTATCAAGACTTTATGCTTCATTCAACTGGATCTAAATCAAGAGGACAGCGTCACCAGAGTCAAAATGAATTATTTTATTTTATTAATCACGTGATATGTTACAACTTCATGACCCCATACACATAGGCCTACCTGCTTTATGTCCAGGGAAAAGGATACAGAGGCGTCAGAGCTGGTTGTACAAGCAAGATATCTAAGATAATAAATCAGCAGAGTAAAATAAACAGATAAGTGTTTTTATATGAAAATAATATAAAATTAGGCTATATATGCAGATCAATAGATATTTGTTGAAAAACATACTTTGCAATTCATGTTTCCTTTAGGTACTTTAACCTGATCTACATCTGTTGTATTTTGTGATCAGTACACAATAAAGACACAATATTATACAGTAATGTTGAGGAGAAAATTTTTCTGAAGTGCGCTGACAAGTCATACAATGAAACCGAATGTTTGATGAACAGATTGAATTTAGGATTTTATTCACATAAACATTCATCAATGTATGCAGTATGATGAATTTGAACTAAACCTCTCAATTAATATGGATGAGGTTCCTCGGACACAATTTTGTTATTTCGAATGTTTAGTGTGTATGCAAGTTTCTGTGCGCTTTTGTGATTTTAGCGTGTGAACGGGACTTTTATTTTGAAGTGCCGATGTGACGTCATAAGGATGCGCCGTGCTCCTGCACTGTTGTTATTCGGCTGAAGAAAGGTTCGTGTTTTTAATCGTTAAAAGTGTTTAATCTATGCAAACCGTCCTGATAATGCTATATATTTTTTAATGAACTGTAAAACGATTTGAATATATCATTGTATCATCTGACACTTATTTTTATGAGTAGAATGCAATGCATCCATACATTCTACTCAGTAACAGTAAAATCAGTTCATTTTCAGTAACACAAGTGCAATTGTTTACTTATGTGATAATTTATTCAGCCTACCTATGCAATTAACTGTTTATTTACTCATTTATATAATTATTTAAATTACTATCGCGGGAAATAAGAGTCGCTGTCCATCATTTTGAAAGCATTGATCATTACAAAAAGAGAAATAAAAACGTTTGACTTCTGTCCCTGCATTAATCCTCTCAGACACGAGAGCTGGATCTACCTCAACACATATCAACCGTCTTAATTTATTGCCTTAATATTTTTCGTGTGGCCCATACATTATAATGATAGTGGAAAAATAGAAAAATCAAGTTTTTTTTGTCAGTGTTTGAAATAAAGCTGCTATTGATTTTCATCGATGACTGATTATTGTGCTGGCCTATTAAAGACTATTATGTACTTAATAATCATATTATTAATAAGACCGTTCTAAGACAGCACGATGTATTAAAACCAGTTTAAAACCCATAATATAGCATAGTGCTGTTGTGAATTCACAAAGGCTGCGTTTCAATTAAATAAATATATGCCCTGCGCTTCATGCATGTATTTTAAGTCATTTCAAAGGCCACAAAAATACCAGATTAGCTGATTAATCGTCAAAATAATTAATCGATTACCAAAATAATAATAAGGGCTGACGTACTTCACTTCTGAGTGAACAAGACGGAGGGAAGTCAACGAGGGGAGGTTCAATTTAAAGGGGTGGTTGATTATGATTTCACTTTTCTAACTTTAGTTAGTGTGTAATGTTGCTGTTTGAGCACAAACAATATCTGCAAAGTTATGACGCTCAAAGGTCAAAGCAAAGGGAGATATTTGCTTTTAAAGAAATCAGTTTTTTAAGGACTATAACAAACGGCTGGTAGGGACTACATAACATTCCTCACGGGTTAGTGACATCACCAACCCTAAAATTTACATAAACTTTAACATGCTATATAAAATATCTGTGGGATATTTTGAGCTAAAACTTTACATACACACTCTGGGGACATCAGGGATTTATTTTACATCTTGTGAAAAGGGCATTATTGCCTACTACCACCCCTTTAAGAGACACTCAGAGATTTAGTTTGGATGTGTGTTTCGTTCTGTTAATTATTCTCATCTTAAACAGGACAAACACACAGAAAACTCCTGGTGAAGCGACTGAGGTCCACGTGACACTAATATAAAGATGGCGTTTATTAAAGAGGAGAGTGAAGACGTGAAGATTGAAGAAACATTCAGTGTGAAACATGAAGAAACTGAGGAACACACAGGTTGGTTTGTCTGGATGGACTGTGGATTTCACAGCTGAAACTGAGACACTAGTGCTGTAACTTTGTTTTAACTAAATATAGTGCTTAAATTACTTAAAACATCAAATAAAATTAGATTCAACCATGAAGGATTTGCTACAGTGAGATTATTTATAATGTACAGACTACTCAAAATGCACTCTGATCAATTACAGCTTTTAAAAGCAAATAAGATTGAAACACATTTGTGTGGGCAGTGGGAGAGTCATGCAATGAATGCTGTTTTTATATTTTGTGTGATGCACATGGAAGCTAATAATATTCAGAACATCATCAAATTCAGTGTGAAAATGCTTTGTTTTCAAGCAAAATACCATAATGTGACGTCATGCACTTTCCCAGAAGAAATAGTATTTTATAAGCAACTAAACAAAATAATTTAGTTACTAAAGGTTCTGACAAATGATAATTGCTGCAGTCTATTTAAAAAATGAGTTTAATTTGAATTAATTAATAATAATAATAAAAAATAACTTTGAATGAATGATTCACTCAAAGACTTCACTTGTTTCATTACTGGATGAATGAGCGTTTTTCTTGAGGAAATAATTAAATGAGAAAAAAATTTTAACAGTCACTTGTCGCCACCTACTTTTGTAACGATGCAACTGATACAATCTTTATTTGAAGTGCCTAGTTATTTTCGCTACTGTAGACATCAGTGTTCATAGTATTAGTAGTATTAAACATTTATCCAAGTATATTATTATATATTATATCGAGTAATTTGAATGTTCGTTAGACAGAAATAATGTTGAAATGACTATTTCTTGGTTTAATTATATTTATATTTAGTATAGGCCTAAACAAGATACATTTATTCTAAATATAATTAATAATAATAATAAAAAAACTAGAGTACTGCTAGAATATTTAACTGGAATATTTAGTTAGACATACTGATTAAATAGTCCGCTATAAAAAAAGACCTGAAATGGCATATTGGACTCGAATCGATGAATCTGTTCATTAAGAACCTTCTGAACAAAGCGATTCACTAGAATGAACCTTCTGAACAAAGCGATTCACTAGAATGAACCTTCTGAACAAAGCGATTCACTAGAATGAACCTTCTGAACGAAGCGATTCACTAGAATGAACCTTCTGAACAAAGCGATTCACTAGAATGAACCTTCTGAACGAAGCGATTCACTAGAATAAATCAGTTTTTCCAAAGCTGCAGATGTACAAACCGTTTAAGACGAACCTATTCAATCGAATAAATCAAAACTTACCAGCGCTATTAAGAGATGTTGTTTACCTCCACTCACTCGTCAGTGTACAAATGTGATAAAAACAGAGATGGCTGCGCTACGCCGCTACTCGTTTAGGAAAAGTAGCTTTTTACTGGAAAAGCTTGTATTAAAAGCAGATCTCTTCTCAAAGCTAAAAGTGTTTGCACCGTCATAATGGTGTGCGGGAATAAGGACACACTCATAGATCAGTTGTTTCCTTAGTCTCAAAATTGTTAAGTAAAAGAATAGCCCATTCAACTTTCACTTACTTTGACATGTTTCAGTAGGTCCCGCGCTGTCCCAAGAATGGTGAGCCCTGTACCTCGACTTAACAATTCCATTGTTCCAGAAACGAACGTGGACGTCAAGCTGCTTGGTTTTGGTGGTCTTGATTTAAGCTTTCGTCAAACATTACGACATACGGTCCGGTAAGAGTACGAACCAATTCCCTCTTTATAAACTCCCCCAGTCCAAATTTCGCCACATAAGCGATCTTGTTGGGAAGATACGTTTTCGCGATTACTGAATCAGGGAACATCACCGGGAACATCACCTGGAAGAGATCGTTAATTTCACTGTTGCTATTAAATGAGTGGTGAAAGCACCTCGGCTTTCGACGTGTCAGTCGATCCAAAAGTACCCCGAAGGTCGTTCGATGGAGTTATGATGATATTGCGCTGGAGGGACCAGGCATTGAGGAGGACGGCAGCAGGGGTGAAGCACAAAACTGGCTAATTCCGCTGAAGGTATTTTGCGGCTAGCTTGTGTTTCTCCGCTCTGGCGTGTGACTCCAGCGCCTTCACACCCAGAGTCCCTAATTGAATATTTTTTTTGCAAAGTTTGCAGCGAGCCTCGTACCTGGAGATGGGTACCGCTTGTAACCAACAGCGGAAATCGCTGTGATCTAGCCATGTCTCGTTGAAAGTACACTTTCCCATTTTCCACACGTAGCCGAATGCAAATGCAATACCTGCCCTCAAAAAACATCTGCGTCTCCTCAGAGTTTATCACAGGATTTGTAGTTTTATCACCGTGTATGTACCAACACCAATATCCCCCAGAAAGAACTACAACACACCGAAATACACTGAACAAAATGATAAACGCAACACTTTTGTTTTTGCCCCCATTTTTCATGAGCTGAACTCAAATATCTTAGACTTTTTCTATGTACCCAAAAGGCCTATTTCTCTCAAATATTGTTCACAAATCTGTCTATATCTGTGTTAGTGAGCACTTCTCCTTTGCCGAGATAATCCATCCACCTCACAGGTGTGGCATATCAAGATGCTGATTAGACGGCATGATTATTGCACAGGTATAATGAACTCTTAACTGTCAAAAGATCAAGGAAAATTTGAATTCTCAGTTCATGACCCCTTTAATATAGTTTAACAAGCTGTTTTATTGACTTCTTTCCACGGTTAAAACACTGAGCGATTGCATGGGACGTGATTCAGTAAGTTGTATTGTATTTTTCAGCATACCTTCTAATGTTCATTCATGTTTGTTTATTTGAGGCTATAACTACTAGTAAAGAGGAAGAGACGATCAATTCATATGAGATCAAAAGAGACAATCGATTCATATAAGATCAAAAGACTATTTAGAAACAAAAATATTTCTCTAATTTGTTTTTGTTTTTTTATTGTTGACGTTGTCGATAATGACAACTAATCATTTCAGCCCTAATGGACAACTATCACAAATCCTAATATACACTATATTGCCAAAAGTTTTGGGATGTCTGCCTTTAGATGCACATGAACTTTAATGACATTCTATTCCTGACAGGGTTTAATATGGAGTTGGAGCTATAACAGCTTCAACTCTTCTGGGAAGGCTTTCCACAAGGTTTAGGAGTATTTTTATGGGAATTTTTTACCATTCTTCTAGAAGCAAATTTGGGAGGTCAGGCACTGATGTTGGACGAGAAGGCCTGGCTCACAGTCTCCGCTCTAATTCATCCCAAAGGTGCTCTATCGGTTGAGGTCAGGACTCTGTACAGGCCAGTCCAGTTCCTCCACACCAAACCCGCTCATCCATGTCTTTATGGACGTGCACTGGTGCGCAGTCATGTTTGGACAAGAATATCCCCAAACTGTTCCCACAAAGTTGGGAGCATGAAATTGTCCAAAATGTCTTGGTATGCTTTAAGAGTTTCTTTCACTGGAACAAAGCGGCCAAGCCCAACCGCTGAAAACAACCCCACACCATAATCCCTCCTCCACCAACCTTTACACTTGGCACAATGCAGTCAGGCAATTACCGTTCTCCTGGCAACCGCTAAACCGAGACTCGTCCATTGAATTGCCAGACAGAAAAGCGTGATTCGTCCCTCCAGAGAACACGTCTCCACTGGCGTCCACTTTGTTTTAATACAACTAACAGTTGACCGTGGAATATTTAGTAGTGAGGAAATTTCACGAATGGACAGGTGGCAACCTCGTACCACGCTTGAATTCACTGAGCTCCTGAGAGCGACCCATTCTTTCACAAATGTTTGTAGAAGCAGTCTGCATGCCTAGGTGCTTGATTTTATACAACTTTGGCCATGGAAGTGATTGGAACACCTGAATTCAATGATTTGGGATATTGTGCCAATACTTTTGCCAATATAGAGTATAACATTCAAACAAAGCTGACTTGAATATTGCACATAATGTAATTTTCATAACTTGTAACGTGTAAAATCATTATATGCACAAATGAGCAACATTTTTAATGCTTTGTGATAATTAGGTCACTGAAATGAATTATATTATTTCCTGGGGGAAAAAAATCATGACCAGAAATCAGGCCTTGCCAACCACACATTTTCCAAGAGTGTGATGTCAAAGTGCCCTACTTCTTCTGAACCAGATATGTCCACAGGGCCCATGGTCCTATTGTTCGTCTAAGGATTATTATTATGCTTTTTGAAGCTTTTGGGGCTCTTAACATGCTTTAAAACACACAAAATTTTTCATGTCAGAGTCATTTGCCATTGCTGCATATATCACACATAGCTGTACTGATTTGTATTAGTACATTTATTGTTCTCATCGACACAAACAACTACACTGACAATGATTAGCTCAGACCAACAATAAGTGTTTGAGGCTTTGTATATTTGGGTGTTTTGATGCTGTTAGCATGTTTAAAATGTCATGAAATTCTGCACACACACGAGAGTTGTCCGCCATTGGTTGTAGGAAACAGCTAAGACATGGACATAGAGCAGGGGCAGTAACTTCAGACCTGGAGGGTCACTGTCCTGCTAAGTTTAATTCAATCCCCAATGAAACGCACCTACCTGTGTGTTCAAGAAACCATGAAGACGTTGGTTAGATTGTTCAGTTGTGTTTGATAAGGGATTGATCTAGACCAAACTCTGCACAGTTTAGCTCCATCTTGCCTCAACACACCTCCCTGGAAGTTTCTAGTATGCCTAGTAAGACCTTGATTAGCTGGTTCAGGTGTTTAATTGCGGTTGTAACTGAACTTTGCTAAGCAGTGGCCCTCCAGGAGCAGGATTGGACACCCCTGATCTAGACTATGTTGGGCAGTGGCCCTCCAGGACCAAAGTTGCTCATCCCTGACCTGAAGTCACCAAACTTGGTACGTATATTGTTCTCCTCAAGCCGGACAACTTTCAAAATCACGTGGATGTAGCTATTGTGGTTCAGGGACATTTCTCACATATCTCTCAATTCACCCACTTAAATGCATCTGCCCACCGTGTGACGATGGTGCCGTAGTGCTTGATACTATTATCACTTTTTTACAGCTATATTGATGGTTTTGATGCTTTAACCTGTTAACCGTCACCAGTGCGTGGGCGCTCTGAAGCGTTTTTTTTTTAAAATACTTCAAAGTTACTATCATATTTAATGTTATTAACTTGACAAACTATACATCATTAAAACGATATAAGACTCAAGTTTCAGTATTTGACCACTATTGTATTCTGAGAAACTTATAGTGACAGTTATGTCTTAATTTGTGTCAGGAGTTATGAAATTAAAAAACGAGTCGTTACCTTTAATATGAATTATGAGCGTCAGCTGCTCTCATTCAGAAAAAAACTCCCGTGCGATCGTCATGACAGCGCTTGACAAAACAACGTCCCTCAGGGCTTTTAGCTCAAACATGTGCAGATTTGGAGACATATTGATAGATTCTCATAAGTTTACATCAGATTTCTATAGACAGGAAAAATATTTATTGAATTTATACCCAAATGCGTCGATGTAATCATTTTGAGCGCTGGATACTCTGATCTACTGTATTATCAATTCATACTGAAGTCTGGGGCGCTGTTGCACAGAAAAGTCCATATATGGATCACATGAAGAAGAGCCATAATCATGTGACATTCAGGAAGTCCTGACCTATGGTCCTGACACAACAAAGCTATCAGAGATCGCTGTAAAGTGCAGATAAAGATGTTTTGAAGACAATAAACATGATTGCAATGATATTTGATTTACCTGTGTTCTTCGAGTCATGTCAGGTATTTTCATAATAATAGATTATATGTATAATGTAATGCTAATCGAGATAGACTTTCAAATTGTGCAGAATACAATAAAATAATATATTTTCTATCTGATTTTTTTATCTGAAGCCAAATCAGATTACAGAAAGTTATTAAAAACACTCGACTTGCGCTGTAAAGTAAGTTTGGAGCACAAACATAGTTTTATTCTCATAAATTGTCGTGTATTGATGGTGTGCTAAGCTAACATGCTAGCTAGTACTGAGCACCTGCTACCTAACTTCGGTGTAATTTTTATGATTTTTTTTCTAAATAAGAATGCTTACTAAAATGTTTCGTTTTTCAAAAAGGGCATTTGATACAGTTTCACTGTGAAGTGAGAACTTTTATAAAAGAAATGAGGGATTGAAACAGTGTGAATTGCTAGTCGTTAGTGATTATAATGCAGACAAAAGAAAAGCATATTTAGAGCAATAAACAGGCTGGAGAGGTGTGAATATGTGCAGGGGAGACTGACACTGAATGGGGCTCGTTTTTGCATCACAAAACAATAGAGGCAATAGACTGAATAGATGCTTATAAGATGACAATAAACACCAGTCTAATCAAAATAAAGTCATATGACATGATCTTGAAAAACATTGAACTAAATACAGAGTTTTAGACTTATCATCTTCAGATTTTAAATATAACATGGCCAGACATGTGGCTTTAGCTGCAGTGCATTTCTAGATTGCTACAATGCCAACTTCAATTTTATTTTCATGAAGATGTTTCATAAAAATAAATGTATAATAATTTTACAAAACTTTGAAGCTATTTATAACTATTTTTTTTCATTATGACAATAATTAATTCTACATTTACAATAAACTTCCAGGTGTCAGCTTTCAAATGAGATCTTACTTGTGCTTTTAGTACAAAGGGTTCATGAACTGTATCTGTTTCGGTTTGGGAATGCCATATCTGGGGATTTTTCAAAAATGGGGTTGCAGGTTAACAGGTTAAATGACTAGATGTTTTGATGTCTGTTTGTGCCATTAAACTGGGGTGTATTTGTATTCTCTTTTTTTTTTTGCCTTAGATCTGATGATGCTAAAAGAGGAGATTCAAGATCCGAAAGAAACAGAAGAGAAAGATCAGTTTGAGAAACATTATTTCCCAACTGGAGAAAAATCATTTAGTTGCTCACAGACTGAAAAATCATTTAGTTGCTCACAGACTGAAAAGACTTCACCAAAAAGTGCTCAAAAGACAGCAAATAGAAGTTATTTCACCTGCCAACAGTGTGGAAGGAGTTTCACTCAAAAAGGAAATCTTAAATGTCACATGAGAATTCACACTGGAGAGAAGCCATACACGTGTCAACAGTGTGGAAAGAGTTTCACACATCAAGGAACCCTTTATACCCACATGAAAGTTCATTCTGGAGAGAGCCCTTACACCTGCAAACTGTGTGGAATAACCTTGAATCGAAAAGGAAATCTTAAGACTCACATGAGAGTTCACACTGGAGAGAAACCTTTTACATGTGATAAGTGTGGAAAATGTTTCACACGTAAAGAGAGCCTTAAAAACCACGTGAGGGTTCATGTAAAAGATAGCTGTTGTATATGCCGTCAGTGTGGAAGGAGTTTCACAGACAAGAAACAGCTTAAGAGGCACGTAAAAACTCACTCCGGAGAGAAGTCTTACATGTGCCATCTCTGTGGAATGAGTTGCGCAAACAATACAAACCTCGAAGTCCATGTGAGAGTTCACACTGGAGAGAAGCCTTACAGCTGCCAACAGTGTGGAAAGAGTTTCAATCGAAAAGAAAGTCTTAAGACTCATATGAGAAGTCACACTGGAGAGAAGCCTTTCACCTGCAAACTGTGTGGAAAGAGTTTTACACATAAAGGAACCTGTTATACCCACATGAAAGTTCACACTGGAGGGAAGCGTTTCACCTATCTTTAGTGTGAGGAGATTCAGCATCAAATAGACCTGAAAAATCATTTGCAGACTAGTTCAAAAATTGCAGTGTTCTGAGTGGAGCGATTTCAAAAAGAAAAGCTTGTAAAAGCATTAAATTCACTTTCAAAACTTTAAGTCCATTTAGGCCTGGTTTCACAGACAGAGCTTATATTAAGCCAGGATTAGGCTTTAGTTCAATCTGGGAATTTAAGTAGCTTTTATAAATCTGCCTTAGAAAAAAACAAAACATTACTGGTGTGTATCTTGAGACAAAACAATGGCACTGAACCACTGACTTAATTTAAGGGTGTATTCACAGTTATCTGGTTTGGTTCGAATTAATCAAACTCAAGTTCGTTTCCCCCCTTGGTGCGGATCTTTTGAGCAGGTGTGAATACAGCAATCGCACTCTGGTGTGGACCAAACAATCGTACCAAGACCCAGCTGAAGAGGTGGTCTCGGTCCGGTTCCAAATCGTCTTTGCAAAATCCAAATTACAACATAGTATAGATGACTTTTGCAAGCAGGACGAGGCTGAGGGTCGTGAGAGAACGGCACGAGGCCGGTGGCGTGATTACCAATGTCGTATCTCTCACGGAGGAGCTACGGAAGCATAAAAGGAAGAAAGCGATGACCGTGAAGAAAGGAGAGAAGACCAGGCCTGGACTTTTATGTTATGTTTTGTTTATGTGTGTGCGGCAGTCGTCCATGAAGGGCTACCGTTTTTACTTTAGTTTTGTGTTTTTTATTATTATTAAATTGTTTAAATGCTGGCCGGTTCCCGCCTCCTCCTTCCAAGGCAAGGCAAGTTTATTTATATAGCACATTTCATACACAATGGTAATTCAACGTGCTTTACATAGAAGAAATTAAAATAATCAAAACAAATAAGAATAATTAAAACAGCATACAACATAACAACATACTTTATTACAATGACATTGTATCATATGATGCTCATAAGTTTCTTCATATTGCGTTAGTAGCTGATAAAACCAAATCAGTGAAAGAATAAAAATTGCTCTACGTAAGATCTCCATGATTAGCCTGTTTTTGCACTTCCTGCTTTTCCCTGCTTGAGAATTTCTGTCCAATGAATGGATGACTTTAGCACACGCGTGTCACTTGCAAAAAGGGCAGTGTGAAAGTGAACTAGCGGACTTTCCTGGTGTGAACTTTGACTTTCCCTAAGATATGTCAGTGCTAGTTGCTTTCAGTTAAAACAGCTTTAACATGCATTTTAATCTGGGATAGGCTTAAGCCTTGTCTGTGAAACAGGGGGAAGAAGTCTTAAAAATCATAAATAGGAGGGGAAAGTTTAACTGTTTGCAAAGATTTATAATTTTTGAAGCACAAACAGGAGACGCTTGGAAAAGGCAAACATGATTTTGATTGGCTGGAGATTGTGATGGTTACTGATTTGCATAACTGAGCTGCTAGAGTGATTCGGGTGTGTTTAGTTGGACAAGAAGTAATAGGGGAAATGTAGATTTACCAGCAAGTGGCCTGAAAATATTCAATTCTCGGACTGGTTAGAACCAGTACCAGTAAATGATTTGAAACCAGATTGTCCAGCATTTTTAAGATTTCCTGTCTCTTGAGGTAAAGACTAATTTTCTTCCTTCCAGCCAATGGACACAGGACTACGTGTTCTTGCATGGATTCTTCAGCCAGTCATACCGGGAGCTTTGGGCTTTTGGTCAGAAAATACTTTTTCATAGAGGGGTTTTCAATGTCCTACTGATTAAAGAACTACTAGATTCTTAGGCTTTAGCTAGGTCTCAGTACCGTTTATACCTTGTCCAGAAAAGGAGGGAAAAAGACAGCAGTGTACAAACCCAGAGAAGTATACATTCGTGTTCATGAATATGTGAAACAGGTTACATTGCCAAAAAGTAATAATTTATACTAATTAAAACAGCAAAATGTCAAATATCCAGGGCACCATGTCAAGGCACTAACACATCAACAAATTCTAAATGTCTCTCATTATTACATAAAGATAAGTTGTTTTATTAATATTACGTAGGCTACTTGGATAATATGTAAATCACACTGTTGTCTTGGCTTTTGGCTTGCTTAGTTGGGGACATTTAATATTCAACTATATTATTGATCTGCCTTACTTAAGGTGGATAATGATGCAATTTTCTTCTAGAAACAAACTTTGTTGTATTATTTTCATGTTATCACTGTGAAGCAGCTTGATACACTCTGTATTGTAAAAAGCTCTATGTAAATAAAGGTGACTCGACATGTTTCTGTGCATGTTCATTAGAAAGAAATGCCAAAATATCAAAGCACTTGGACTGGATCCATTTGCAAACTTTTTGATATTAACAGAGGTGGAAATGTCTGTACAGAAGGTCAACCAAGAACATAGCAACTGCATAGCACAGCTGAGAATATCCTAGCAACAACACTAGCAAAAACCCAGAACATTCTGACCCAACTTCAAACTATTTTAAATTTTAGGACAAGAATTTAACTTGACTTTAAAACAAGCCAACATAATGTTTTTCAGTCTAGATAATTTAAGTGTAACTTCACAGATTTTCATCCTGCTTTGTATTGTTACAACATCGATAGTATATGTAAATGAACAATGTCATCCAGCTGTGTTTTGATAGCTCCAGGGCTTTTGTGGAAACTACAGATTATACTTCAGCATTTTTGTATCCCCACCCATGGACAGTTGGATCGACAGAGGTTTAATAACAGAACAGTTATTGTAAGGGTAGGTTTATCGCTGAAAACATTCCCCAGACAACAAATTAGCTCTTACCGATGTTGGGGTGCGTGTGCCTGCCCGACATAAAGTGCCTCGGTGAGATGTCTTATGGAGATCGGTAGCTAATCGGCAAGATATCGGGAAGACGGTGGCATTAGAATGATCGTCGACCTGAAAATCAGCTGTTCCAGTGTTAAAGGAACACTCCACCGTTTTTTGAAATAGGGCTTATTCACATTCTTTCCTACATTTAGATTAGGGGTGCGCCGATCCGATATTCGGTATCGGTATTAGTCCGATACTGGCCAAAATCACTGGATCGGATATTGTATGAATCGCGGGAGTATATTCCGATCCGATACGACCACGGACCTAGTCCTAAACTGTCAAACAAATGCTTTTAACAACACCTGAGAGACATGCCGTAAAGAGAGATGAGCAACATGCGTCACGCTGCAGCTGCACGCAGGGTCGCCAGATTTTCACAACAAAACCCGCCCAATTGTATTTAAAAAAAATAGCCAATCGCATTTCGGGGTGTGAGAGGGAGCGCGGACTTGGCAACACTGACGTCACGTGAACAGTAGCTAGAACGTGACTGAGTGAGGTGAGACCTGTCAGCAATTATCATGTCAGCTGTGTGGAGTTATTTTTAAAAAGTGTGCATGCTGTTTTGTGAGTCTCCGCAACGGCGATAGATTGGAGCGCGTCCGAGTGAAGACTGCGCGCGCGCGCCACAAGAGAATTGTATCCGTGCAACTGATAGCAGCGGCAACGAGCGCTCAGCTTGATTAAAAAAAAAAAAAAAAACATTTTAGCGTTAGATCGTCTAACTATGTTAATTAATGCTCTGTTAAATGGAGATGTTTTATTTATTTGTATTACATCTGTGCCTCATAATGTTTCAAAAGTGGTGGGGGGCAATATCGATCCTGAGAAAAAGTGTCGGGGACATGTCGCACCCTCAAATTACACCTATGAACCCCTGATGTTACATGTGAAAAACTTTAGAGCTTGGATTGTCTACCCAAAATGTTTTTCCCCTTTATCAGGTGTGTAATGGCCTAGTAGAGTTTAATTTGTGAGTGCTTTATTGTACTATTCTGTTCTATTGTACATTTTATAATGGAGATACCATTATTTTTAAGGTAGGTTATACTTATTTAAGTTATGATTACATAGAGTTTTGTGTTACATCCAGTATTTGGCACTGGAATTATCTATTTTTTTTATTTGCACAGTTGGACTTTAAATTTAATTAATTGAATGGTGCTGAATAATTAAAAATGCTGCTACAAGCTCTGTTTAAAAATTATTTTAATAAAAATTAAGCAGTACGTATTTCTTCCTTTAGGGGAGTAGAACATTTATTGCACTATTTGAGCATGATGCTTTTTAGATGGCTAGGTTAAGCACAGTGCATCCTCCTGACAAACGTGTTATTAACAGCTTAATTAAGAGGGAGAAAAATATGGTATGGTATTGTATCAGTATCGGTATCGGCAGATACTCAAGTTTGTGGTATCGGTATCGGACATGAAAAAGTGGTATCGAGCCACCCCTAATTTAGATAGGTGTGCAAATGCATTTTTGTCTCAGTGCATGCATTGTTTTAGTTTGACAGGGTCGGCGCTAGCTTAGCTTAGCACAATGAATGGAATCCTTTGTTGCCAGCTAGCATGTCCTGAGTAAAAGTGATAAAAAAAATAAAAAAACACGTAATTACTTCTTGTGGCCTGCGTATTCACAACGAGTACAAATAGTGATGCAGATTAACACTAGGCGATTTCCTAGGCAGATATTGACTTGGGACTATATTAGGGGGAAGCACAGGCGAAGCACTGCTGCTTAGGCGAAGCACTGCTACTTGGGCGCAGAGATATCACGCAACACATGAAATCCCACGACTTCTATAAACATACCGGCGTTCAACGCGTCAAAAAAACAGAAGAAGAAGAACATACCGGCGTGACCTGCACCGATTGTCTTCGTTTTAGGACTATTTATTTTGAGAAGTTACAGCAAACATGGTAATTACCTACGTAGCAAAAGGTTGTGAGAACAAGCAAAGAACATACACGAATGTCTTGATCTGACGCGTTGAGCCTGGTTATCGATGGCAGTAACTGGTCCCACTCTCCACAGCACAGACACTCTATTTCAGTCGGCATAGGTTGGCATATTCACCCACATTCACACCACCAATTCGTGTTGGCTCTCATCCTCATGTCCTCAGGCTGTTGAGCGATCTCAACCTCCTCCTCCTGACGGTCTATTTCTAAAGCACGCAGCTCCTCTTCTGTAAACTCTGGTTCAATAGGTATGGTTCTGGCTCTTGACTGTCTGAGAAGTCACCCTCTTCGTCTCTCACAAAATCAGCCATGTTCATCGCCAGTCATGTACTGTACGGAAAATAGTCAGGCAGCTACTATTCACGCCGGTATGTTTACGGAAGTCGTGGGATTTCATGTGTTGCGTGATATCTCTGCGCCCAAGTAGCAGTGCTTCGCCTAAGCAGCAGTGCTTTGCCTGTGCTTCCCCCTAATATAGTCCCAAGTCAATATCTGCCTAGGAAATCGCCTAGTGTTAATCTGCATCGCTATTTGTACTCGTTGTGAATACGCAGGCCACAAGAAGTAATTACGTGTTTTTGTTTTTGTTATCACTTTTACTCAGGACATGCTAGCTGGCAACAAAGGATTCCATTCATTGTGCTAAGCTAAGCTAGCGCCGACCC